CTACCGCGGGGGCGGCTGTCCGGAAGGACTGCGCGGTGGATCCAAGGCGCCGCCGGGAGCGCGCTTCCGCTTCCGGTCCTTGCCTCGGGGGTGGGGGTGTCTAGTGTGAGCGTGTGCGTGTGCGCGTGGAGGGGATCCGATTCGCGTGCGTACCCGGAAGGGGAACAGGTGGTTTGGGTTGCAGTGCCGTCCCTCCGGTTTCGGTTCTGAGCCCCCCAGTTTCTCCTCCGCCTAGAGAACAGCCAGTGATGGAATCATACAGAATGTGCGTCTACGTGCATGCCTTCGTGCACTCGATCGATCCGCGAAGAGTTGAGTAAGCCAGCCAAACCTAGCTGCCCCTCAGAACGGCTGCAGTGGGTCTTCACAGGAGTAGGAAACCGTATCTTGCTCCCTTGCAGCTGCTGGTAGTTTCAAACGGACCCCTTGGCTAGCGGTGCAATGCATAACCCTAGAAACGTTTATTGGGGGTTTCCGTTCCTAGTGAGTAGCATTCTATGGTATTGACACATCTCTACTTGCTTCTTCATTCTCCTAGTGATGGCTACCTGAGCAGTAGCCATGTTGATGATTCTTTTCAAAGTTTTGTATCAGAGCTTAAATTCTGAGCTCTCTGGTGTGCAGAAGGCTATGGATGACAGTGATAGCCAAAACTCCATTTGCAGGGTCCCCACATAGATTAAACCTCCATTGAATTCTTCTGATCATTAATCAAGGATTCAGATAACTATTGCCTCAGGCAGAGTACCTTGGAAATTAATTCCACCCCCTCACAAGTCAGGCCAGGGAGGGACATTCTCTTTTTTAGACACCTGCCTGACTGTCCTGGATGGAGGTCACCATCCTGGGGACAGTATGGGGTGTCACATAGTCACGAGTCATGCCCTATCAGTGCACCCTGACCACCTTGGTCAGGTGGTTCTAGATTAATCTTGTAATCCTTCTATCTGACAAAGTACGTGTCACAATCATGGTCCCACTGTTGTTAGGATTTTCTGTTAAATTCTTCCTTTTGTCTTAGGTGCAAATGTCAAGAGGGCCATATGTAGAGCAGGTCCTGATCTTTAGTGTAGTGAGGACAATTGGCAGTTACCTATTCATGCAGCTGCACAAATGGGCCATGCTAAGTAAGTGTTAACGACAGAAAATAAAAGTGAGCTCAAAATTAGAAGCTAATCAGAAATAACCTGGCAAAAGTCTCTGTTTCTCCCTCACTGGGCCTTGGTGGAGACTGAACGCCTCACCATGGGCCACCAAGTCACCATGAGGCCTGAACTACCTATCATGAACTGGGTATTGTCTGACCCACGGAATCATAAAGTTGGACGTGCACAGCAACACTCCATTGTTAAAT